CCCCCCTTCCTGAAGAAGGGTCTAGGCCCGAAACGTCAGCCTTCCTGCTCCTCTGATGCTGCTTGGCCTGCTGTGTTCATCCAGCTCTACCCCTTGTTATCTCAGATTCTCCAACATCTGCAGTTCCTGCTATCTCCTACACCGTGCATCTTGGCCTTTCTCCCCCTTTGAAATAGCATGAAAACTATTTTCCAGCCCCCTTGAGTTCTGAAGCAATTTCCTATTGGATTCAAAACATTATTTCTGTTTCTCTTTCCATAGACACAGCCAAACCTCTGCTGAGTTTCTATAGCACTTTCAGTTTTTACATTATGTTCTATATCTGGGGGAAGGAAGAGGTTTGAAATGAAATAATGCTAAGGACGAGCCAAACTGTTTAAACCAAACGGTTTGCATCATGTGCAATTTATCCTGTACCTTCCCCCCCACCCCCCCTTTCTTGATTACCACAGTTCTCCCTCATAGTTGACACAAAGATTGCTGAATTCTAACTTGGCAGTAGTTGATTAATAAGAAGTCAGCTTTTGCATTTTGAATCCTGCTTTCACTTGAATATTAATAACAGCATTTTTTTGGAAATGCATGTGAATTATTTGTCATATCAAATACTATGACAAGCATGTCTTGCAACAATATTTCTTCCTGACCATGTATAAATACTGTACAGTAGAAATGAGATTTAAATTGTACACATTTCATACTCAACATGCATTCGCAATGATTGCTAAGCATATAATTTGTAATACCTGTTTTTAATAGTGGTGTTGTGTAAAATGTTGTCCTATAAGTATCTTAAGAGTAAAATCTGCGGTATAAAATGACTCCAGAAATTTATCACCCCTGCGATGAACTGAAAATAATGCACATCACATGGCAGTGATCGTATAGTACACTCTTGCTGGAAGAGATGCAAAAGGTATAAAAGCTGAAAACATATTCCTGAAATGAATAATTTTGACTCTTTATTGTGCATGTCTGTAAGTGATAGAAATGTGTTAGGAAGGATGTGCAAAAGGGAGGAATGAGAAAGAATACACAATTTAAGTAAGCTGGCCGATTCTAATTTATTGCAAACAAGACGCTAAACACTTTTTCTCTCTCTCTTTGAGCAGGGAAATGAATGGCAAACTTCTATACAGCTTCACTAATTTGGATATTTTAATTCACCGTCTGTGGCAATATGGGCTTATGCCAGGTAAGTTACAGGAATAAAATTTCCAAAGGGTTTCTTCCTACCTATTGCCGTTATATCAATGGGAAAATTGCCAGAACTCTAATATCCAGCCAGTCAATTTCTCCAGGGTTTTCATCAATCTTTTGCCAAAGTTTTATTGTCTCATCACAAATTATATTCATATGCTTATAATGATTTATAAATTACATACATTTTGTAAATACATAGCAGGAAGAACATTGACTTAACTTGGGACTTCAAATTGCACTTCAGAGAAACTGAAACCTAGTATTAAAATTTGGTTCAAAAACAGAAGTTGCAGGAAAAGCTGAGCAAGTCTGGCAGCATCTGTGAAGAAAAATCAGAGTTAATGTTTTGGGTCTGGCGACCCTTCCTCAGAACTGTTTTAATTTTTTATTAAAATTTGGTTTATGTTGCATCATAATGGTACAGCCACTTTACAGCTAATTAGATACTTCTGTTATGCAGCAGCTATTATGTAGGCAAATAAATATGTAGCAATTTCCCACTAAAAACTAAATGGATCATTGTTTCCTCTGTACCTACTTCGGTATCCTTCGTTGGGCGTACATGTCATTCAGTGCTGCTACTCTGAACAGCAATGCAGTTGCTACACCGTTCACTGTTTGTGTCTGTAATGCTGCATAAGAATTAAATTCTCCAGCCTCTTTCTCACTTTGCCATTTTTAGACTTCAGAACATAGAACGTAGAACAGTACAGCACAGTACAGGCCCTTCAGCACACGATGTTGTGCTGACTATTATCCTACGAAGATCAATCTACCCTGCATACCCTACATTTTACTATCCTCCATGTGCCTATCCAAGAGTCGTTTAAAAGTCACTAAAGTATCTGACTCCACTACCACTGCCGGCAGCGCATTCCACACGCCCACCACTTGCTGTGTGAAGAACCTACCTCTGACATCTCCCCTATACCTTCCTCCAATCACCTTAAAATTGTGCCCCCTCGTAATAGTCATTTCCGCCCTGGGACAAAGTCTCTGACTATCTATCTATGCCTCTCATCAACTTGTAAACCTCGATCAAGTCACCTCTCATCCTTCTTTGCTCCAATGAAAAAAGCCCTAGCTCCCATCTTGTAAACTTCTTATCAAGTTACCTCTCATCCTTCTTCGCTCCAATGAAAAAAGCCCTAGCTCCCTCAACCTTTCCTCATAAGACCTCCCCTCCAGTCCAGGCAGCATCCTGGTAAATGTCCTCTGCACCCTCTCTAAAGCTTCCACATTTTTCCTCTAATGAGGTGACCAGAACTGAACACAATATTCCAAGTGTGGTCTAACCAGAGTTTTATAGAGCTGCAGCATAACCTCATGGCTCTTAAACTCAATTCCCCTGCCAATGAAAGCCTACACACCATACACCTTCTTTACAACCCTATCAACTTGGGTCGCAACTTTGAGGGATCTATTGACGTGGACTCCAAGATCCCTCTATTCCTCCACACTGCTGAGAATCCTGCCATTAACCTTGTATTCTGCATTCAAATTCGACTTTCCAAAATGAATCACTTCACACTTTTCTGGGTTGAATTCCATCTGCCACTTCTTTGCCCAGCTCTGCATCCTGTCAACATCCTGTTGCAACCTACAACAGCCCTCCACACTGTCCACAACTCCACCAACCTTCGTGTCATCAGCAAACTTACTAACCCACCCTTCCACTTCCTCATCGAAGTCATTTATAAAGATCACAAAGAGCAGAGGTTCCAGCACAGATCCCTGCGGCACACCACTGGTCACTGAGCTCCAGGCTGAATACTTTCCATCTACTGCCACCCTCTGTCTTCTATTGGACAGCCAGTCTTATATCCAGACAGCCAAATTTCTCTGAATCCCATGCCTCCTTACTTTCTGAATGAGCCTGCCATGTGGAACGTTATCAAATGCCTTGCTAAAATCCATATACACCACATCCACTGCTCTACCTTCATCGATGTGTTTTGTCACATCCTCAAAGAATTCAATAAGGCTTGTGAGGCATGACCTGCCCCTCACAAAGCCATGCTGACTATTTCTAATCAAACTGTGCTTTTCCAAATAATCATAAATACTATCTGTCAGAATCCTCTCCAATACTTTGTCCACCACAGAAGTAAGACTGACCGGTCTGTAATTTCCAGGATTATCCCTATTCCCTTTCTTGAGCAAGGAATGATATTTGCCACCCTTCAATCTCCTGGTACTACTCCAGTGGACAGTGAGGACGCAAAGATCATTGCCAAAGGGGCAGCAATCTCTTCCCTCGCTTCCCGTAGAAACCTTGGGTATATCCCGTCTGGCCCAAGGGACTTATCTATCCTCATGTTTTTGAAAAGTTCTGGCGCATCCTCCTTCCTGACAAAAATCTGTTCGAGCATATCTGCCTGTTTCATGCTGTCCTCACAAATGTCAAGGTCCTTCTCACTGTTGAAAACTGAAGCAAAGTATTCATTAAGGACCTCCCCCATCTCCTCTGACTCCATGCACAAGTTCCCACCACTATCCCTGATTGCCCCGACCCTCTTTCTGGCCATCCTCTTGTTCCTCACAGAAGTATAGAAAGCCTTGGGGTTTTCCTTGATCCTACCCACCAAGGTTTTCTCATACCCCCTTCTAGCTCTCCTAAGTCCATTCTTCCGTTCCTTCCTGGCTGCCTTGTAGATCTCTAGAGCCCCGTCCGATCATTGCTTCCTTCTTCCTCTTGGCTAGGTATTCAACATGTCTTGTCATCCAAGGTTCCTTCACTTTACCATCCTTTCCTTGCCTCAGTGGGACAAACCTATCCAGTACCTGTAGCAACTGCTCCCTAAACAAACCTTCACATTTCTATTGTGCATTTCCCTGAGAACATCTGATCCCAATTGGTGCTCCATAGTTCTTGCCTAATAGCGTTGTAATTTCTCCTCTCCCAATTAAATACTTTCCCATACCGTCTGCTCCTCTCCCTCTCCATGACTATTGTAAAGGTCACGGAGTTGTGATCACTATCACCGAAAAGCTCTCCCGCCGAGAGATCTGACACCTGATCTGGTTTGTTGCCAAGCACCAAATCCAATATGGCCTACTGTCTAGTCGGCCTATCTACATATTGAGTCAGAAATCCTTCCTGGACACACCTGACAAAATCTGTTCCATCCAAACTATTTGCACTCAGGATGTTCCAGTCTATATTAGGGAAGTTGAAGTCCCCCATGACAACAACCCTATTATTTCTGCACCTTTCCAAAATCTATCTCCCAATCTGTTCCTCAGTGCCTCTGTTGCTACTGGGGGGTCTATTGAAAACTTCCAATAAAGTGACTGCTCCTTTCCTGTTTCTGACTTCCACCTATACTGACTCAGTGGAGAAACTCTCTTCCATGACCTCCCTTTCTGCAGCTGTCATACCATCCCTGATTAGCAATGCCGCTCCCCCATCTCTTTTACCTCCCTCCCTATTTCTTTTGAAACATCTATACCCTGGAACATCCAACAACCATTCCTGCCCCTGTGTTATCCAAGTCTCAGTAATGGCCACAACATCGTAGTTCCAAGTACTGATCCATGTTCTAAGTTCGTCACCCTTATTCCTGACACTTCTTACATTGAAGTAGACACACCTCAACCCGTCGCACTGACTCCACTTTGCCCTATTAACTGCTTATCCTTCCTCATAGACTCTCTGCTTGCTCTATCTGTCTGTACACTGGCTACCCCATCCTCTGATCTGTAGCCCCAGTTCCCAACCCCCTGCCAAACTCGTTTAAACCCTCCCGAAGACTTCTAGCAAACCTCCCGTCCAGGATATTGGTGCCCCTCCAGTTCAGGTGCAACTCGTCCTTCCTGTACAGGTCCCATCTTCCCCAGAAGGTGTCCCAATGATCCACAAACCTGAAGCCCTCCCTCCTACACCAGCTCTGTAGCCACGTGTTCAGCTGCGCTTTCTCTCTGTTTCTAGCCTCCCTAGCCCTTGGCACCGGTAGTAATCCTAAGATTACTACTCTACTCGCCCTGGCTTTCAGCCTCCATCCTAACTCCCTACAATCACTTTTCAGGTCCTCATTCCGCTTCCTAGCTATGTGATTGGTACCGATGTGTACCACGACTTCTGGCTGCTCTCCCTCCCCCTTAAGAATCCTGAAGACTCAATCCGAGACATCCCTGACCCTGGCACCCCGGAGGCAACATACCATCCAGGAGTCTGGCTCAATACCACAGAATCTCCTGTCTGTTCCCATAACCAGTGAATCTCCTATCACTATCGCTCTCCTATTCTTCCCGCTTCCCTTCTGAGCCACAGAGACAGGCTCAGTGCCAGAGATCTGGCCGCTATGGTTTTCCCCTGGTAGGTCATCCCCCACAACAGTATCCAAAGCGGTATACTTATTATTGAGGGGAACGGCCACAGGGGATCCCTGCAGTAGCTGCCTATTCCCTTTCCCTCTCCTGACAGTCACCCAGCTACCTTTTTCCTGTTCCTTGGGTGTGACCACCTCCTTATAACTCCTCTCTATCACGCCCTCAGCCTCCTGAATGATCCGGAGTTCATCCAGCTCCAGTTCCAGTTCCCTAACGCAGTCTGTAAGGAGCTGGAGTTGGGTGCACTTCTCGCAGGTGAAGTCAAAAGGGACACCAGTAGTGACCCTTACCTCCCACATCCTACAGAGGAGCATGCAACTGCCCTAGCTTCCATTCCCTCTACTCTAGATTTCCAGAAGAATAAAGAAAACAAACCTTACCTTACCGACCCTCCACACAGTCTTTTTTTTTGGTTAGAGGAGGAGGATGGGTGGAAGACACTACATGCGTAGTGTTTCAGGTTTAGCCAATGCCCGAATATATTAGTTCACTTCCCGGCTCGCGCTCTCACCATTCCTGACGCTGAAAGCAAGAAGGCCGCTGCTTCACGAGGTAAGTTTTTATAAAGAAATGCTTACCTTCCCGGCTGCCCCCTTACTCACGCTCTCACCGCTCCCGATGCTGAAAGCAAGACAGCCGGTGCTGTCAAGACAGGTAAGAAAAGCTTACCTTCCTGGCTGCCTCTGGCTCGCGCTGTCACTACTCCCGATGCTGAAAGCAAGAAGCTTTAGCAACTGTCTTCTAGACTGTTTTCCTATTCCAAGATTGTTATCAATATCCTGGGATTAATTGAAGTATGGCTGACCAATTGGTGATTTCTTATAACTTAAAGAAGCTATCCATGTGGCTGTACTTTTTACCAACTATCATACCCAACAAGTATGGGAATAACATTGCCCTAAGCTCTAAGTTACAATTTGTCCACTCCATTATTCTTAAAAAGTTGATCATGCTTAATGAACCTGATTGACTTTGTGCTTAGTGGATGTTGTATCTATGAATATTACTTATATGGACTTCTAAAATACATTTGATAATATGCCTCATAAGAGACTGTAAACTGAAGTTGAAGCTCATGAAATTGAAGGTAAATTACTGATCTAGCTAAGAAATTGACTGAGTGACAATAGAGATTATAAGCATACTGAGTACTGTAATTGACCGGGTGCCCACTGATACTGGGGCTTCAGTTATTTTCTTTATGACTGAGATAATGGGATAGAAAGTTACATATCTAAGTTAACCAATGGCATAATGATAGGTGACATTGTAAGCAATGTAGATGGAAGTAGAAGATTATAAAAAGGACCAATTTGTTAACTGATTGGACACAGCTATGGGTAAATTGAATAACCTGTTGAAAAATAGATTTTGTTGTAAGCAAATATGAGGTCAATCACTTATGGGGAAAAAGAATTTCTTAAATATGGCCTGACTTTCCATTACTTCATGCTGTGCAGTTGCTCGTGACTGTGACATATTAGTCAACATTTACTACAGTAGTGTGCTGGAAAGCAAGTCCCATTATTCGTGGGGTCGTTGCAAATATGAAAAGATTTAATCAAGCTATCCAAAGTCTCCAGTTTACCTGACTGATGAACACTCATCAGGGTTGTGTACTTAACAAGAAATCAGCTATTTATTGTAAACAGATTTGTTTACAACTGGCAGAAAAGAAACGCAAACTACTAACTTGTAACTTTCTATAACTTAAGTTGGATCATTTTTATAAACTCAAACACAGAGAGAGGGTAGGGCCCTTAAAGATCAAAGTGGTTGTCTTTGTGTTGAACCTCAGGAGATGGGAGAGATATAAAATGAATATTTTGCATCAGTTTTTACTGTGGAGAAAGAAATGGAGGCTAGTAAACTCAGGGAAACAAATATTGATGTTTTGAAAACAGTTCACGTTACAGAAGAAGTAGTGCTGGAGGTCTTAGAAAATATAAAGGTGGATAAATCTGGGGTCTGATCTAGTGTATCCCAGGACTTTGTGGAAAATTAGGAAATTGCAGGGCCCCTTGAAGAAATATTTGCATCATCTATAAATACGTCTGAGGTGCCGGATGTGAATGGCTAATGTGCCTTTGTTTAAGAAGGGATGTAAGGAGAAGCCTAGGAACAATAGACTCTGAATTCTGAATCCACGTGATCTAATTTTACTGATCTTCCAACCATGCTGAACCTTGTCAAAGGCTTTACTGAGGTCTAAGTAAAGTTAGATGACATGGGATTCAGGGTGAGATACAAAGTTGGCTTAATGGCAGGAGACAGAGTGACTGGAGGGTTGTTTTTCAGACTGGAGGCCTTTGATCCGCAGGGATCGGTGCTGAATCCACTTTTGTTTGTCATTATATAAATGATTTAGATGAGAATATAGAAGGCATAGTTAGTAAGTTTGTGGATAACACCGAGATTGGGGGTATAATAGATCGTGAAGCAAGTTATCTAAGATTACCAAGAGACCTTGATAAATTGGGTCAGTGGGCTGAAGAGTGGCAGATAGAGTTCAGTTTGGATAAATGTGAGATATTGCATTTTAGTGAAATAATTTTGAATACCTTTTTTAAGTCTCCCCTAAATCATTTTGCTCTGTTTCAAAATGATTATAAAATACTTTTATATCAGGCTGAGAAGCTGTTCACTTCCACTAGTCTCACCTGATGCTGGTATGATCTGTACCTTATAATTTTCAGTCTGCTGTTATCCAGAGTGCATGATAAAAATATAAGCAGGAATCCATTAACCTTAATTATAATGCTTATAAATCAGGTCTAAGCAGGTGATTCATAGTAAAAGTGAAAAGCATGAAAGAACTGAGGGATAGCAATTTACTTGCTCTAATTATGCACTGGAAATGCAAGGAAAATCTCCCCTACGTGTTCTTGAATACTTTGCGAAACAAAACATTTTCCAAAAATGCCCGCATTTTTAATCACCTCGTCTGCAATTCTGTCTCAATGCTCTGTCTACCCAACTAACTTACTTTTTCATACTTCTAATGTACTGCTCTCATAGCAAACAACAGACTCAGAAATATAAGATATCAATCATGCCAGCATTGGCTGAGACAGGGGAAATGAAAAGTTTGTAAGCTCAAAGGGCCTGTTGTGTTTGCAACTTAGAAACTGGGCAGGGGAGATTAGGGAGAAATATAATAGAGGTTTAAAAATTGGGTTTAGAGGTGCTGTTAGAGTGAATTGAGGACTCTGGCATGCAATTTTGTGTCATTGATAACTCTGAGGCTGACCGTCCCTAGATTGTTTTGCATTTTATTGCAAACCTCTTACATTGTATTGCAGATGCAATTTATTTTTCCAAATACATGCTTAGAATTATTAAAGTGTTTCTCTGCTTTTACGTTGACAAGGTTTAACATAATGCTGAAAATTTCACGTCACAGCTGTGCAATTTTCAATTGTATATCTCTGTTTACATTTAATATCGCATTGTACTAAACCCTTAATCAGCACAACATATAATGTACTTAAATTGACAGCTGTACAGTTCATTGCATTAATTGGCAAGTCTGCTTGATTAAATATTTTGTACAGTAATAAATTTCTCCTCACATATTGTATAGGCTTTGAGCTAATGGGAAATCCATCAGGATACTTTACCAATTTTGAAGAGAAAAAACAGGTGTTTGAGTGGAGAAAATTAATCATGCTTTTAGCGAGAAGATACATAGGTAAGTGCATATAAAAAGTTTGTAATAAATATTAGCCATATTATTTCAGAGTGTTAACAGCAGGTTACTTCGTAATAATTATCTGTAAGATAATAACTGTAATTTATTAAATTATATGCCAAATCTGAAGAAAACATTTTTTTAAAATTTTTTCACCACCTAACATTTACAAAGTTGTTGCATTGCTAATTTTGCAATACCCTCCAGTTTATCCTTACTTGCTCAGAGATAATTGGCCTCAGCTGACTATAACAACATAGTTAAAAGATGCTTGAATTGGGCTGTCTGGTCCCGTTCCACCAATTTTCTGGCAAGTGTAGGGTAGAGAAGGCCAGCAATGTACAGTGAACATGCACTGTCATATCCACATAACTTCTCCCCTCCCTCCTTCATTTTCAGAAGGAAATGCCAGCTTCCAATTAACAGATTCTTGCTACCTGTATGAAATAGAGCAAGAACTACAGCTTAGTGGGATAGCTGAGTATAGCACTATGATGCAAGAAGCTATTCAAGTGGAAGCAGTGAAAAAGAATGTAATCTTGATAGGGTCAGTATAGTCTGGGAATATATATTATTCTGTGCAGCCACGACTGGGAATTAGGAAGATTATGTTAGCCACTCAGTGTCTGGATTAAAGATATCTCCTTTGGCTGTAAATGAACTTGGAATGCCTCTTTCCACACTGCAGGGATTCTATAATTATATGACCCAGTTTTTGAAATATACACTGGAAATAATGACAAAGGCAGAATTAGAGAAACTGTTCTGAGAGGATTTGCACATAAATTATAAGGCGTAACCTCACAGATAAAAATCTCTGGCTATCTGGGATAAAGTCAAACAGACTAGAGCATTTTAACTGTGGCTGAAAATGTTATGTAGGAAGAGTTTGCGTATTCTCCCTGTGTCCCTGAGGGTTTCCACCTGATATTCTGGTTTCCTCCTACAGTCCAAAGATGTGCAAGTTAGGTGAATTGGTCATGCTAAGTTAACCTGTAGTTTCCAGAAATGTGTAGGCTAGGTAAATTAGCAATGGTTAATGCACGGTTACGGGGATAGGGTGGGAAGTTGAACTGGGTGGGATGCTGTTCGGAGGGCTAGTGCAAACTTGTAGGGATTATATGATTAGTGGAAGGGTTTTTAATTCATGGAACGCTGGCATCAGTACTTGGGAAAGAGGGAGCGTTCTTGTTGAGATGGGCTGCACTTAAAACAAGTTGGGATCAGTATCCTGGCAATTTGTGTATCTAGGGCTGTGAATGGAGCTTTAAAATAAAGTGGTGGGAGAAGTAGTCAAATTAAGGGAGATTTAGAAATCTAAAGAGAAAATTTGAAACAATAAAACAACATGGAGATTTGGGTAAAGACCAATAGAGTGGGTCAGGAAGGAGTAAAGAGTTTAACAGTAAGATTTCATCAGCAAATATGATCCATACAAAAACAGCAATCAAAAAATAAAACCAGAGGGCCTTTATCTGAAGGCACGAAGTATTTGTAGAAAGATAGGTGAACAGGAGACATAAGTAGAGATAATGGTTTAGATCTAATAACCATGATCAAGATATAGTTGCAAGGTGACTAGGCTTAGAAAATAAATGCTCCAGAAGGGAAACACTGGAGAGATTGACTGCCTTGAAAGTGGGTAGACCACCAGGGCCAGATGAATTGTATCCAAGGCTATTGAAGGAAGCTGGGGAGGAATTAGCAGATGCACTTGTGAATCATTTTCAGTTCCTCACTATGTACAGGCAAGGTACCAGAGGTTTGAAAATCTGCAAACATTATACCATTATTCAAAGAGGAATAGGTGAAATAATTATAGGCCTATCAGTCTGACCTTGGTGGTGGGAAAACTACCAGGATCAATAAAAAGGAAAAGAGTGCAGATGTTGAAAATCTCAAATAAAATCAGAAAGTGTTGAAGAAACTCAATATGTGTAGCAGAATCTGTGGAGAGAGAAACAGAATTTATGTTCTGAGTCAGATACATGTTCTGTGTTCAAAGAAGAGTGTTATCAACTCGAAACATGAACTCTGCTTCTGTCATTACACATACTGCCAGACCTGCTGAGATTCTCTGCATTTTCTGATTTTATTCTGAGAATTAATGTTGAGGGATAGTATTGGCAGTTAATGGAAAAGCTTAATCAGGATAGTCACCGTGGTTTTAAGGGAATGTTGTTTTACTAACTTAATTGAATTTTCTGAAGAAAAACCCAGGAGGATTGATGAAGGGAGTTGTCTGCCTGTATTTCAGTAAGGCATTTGAAAAGGTCTCACTTGGCAGACTGTTAAGAAAAAAGTAAAACCTGTGAGATACAGGGGCATGTGATGAGTCAAATTCAAAATTAGCTCATAGATGTTTTTGTGAAAGGAAAATGGTTTCCGTTGATGTTTCAGTGGAGTCAGTGTTGGATTCTTTGCTGTTTATGGTATATATTAATGATCTAGACTTAAATGTGGGAGAGATGATTGGAATATTTGCTACTGACTATTGAAGAGAATGACTTGACTAAAGGACGATGTCAAAGCTTTGATTGAGAGAGCAGAAAAGTGATAAATTAAATTGAATTTTGCAAGTATGAGGTTATGCATTGAGGAGGGCAAACAAAGATGTTGAGATGTTTTGGAGGAAGTGAGAGACCTTACTGTGCATGTTCAGAAAGTCCCTGAAAATGGCTGATGAGGTGTTATAGAAAGCGTATGCAAGGTATTAAATACAAAAGCAGGGATGTAATGCTGTAACTATCTAAGTCACTGGTTAAGTCACAGGTGGAGTTTTGTGTATAGTTCTGATCACCACATTATAGGAAAGAAATAATTGCTCTCAAGAGAGAGTATGAAGGAGATTTACAAAAATGTTGTCCAGGCTTGAAAGTTGCAGGTAAGAGGAGAAATCAGAAAAGCTAGGGTTATCCTTATAACAGAGGAAGCTGAGGGGTGACTTAATTGAGATGTACAAGAATATAGGATATGGGATTGTGTTCAGTAACAACTGAGATCAGTGAGTGGCAAAAATAGCCTCTTTATTGGGTGTCCGCAGCAGCACAGATCGAGATGGCAATGGAATACGAAGAACAGTTTTACACCAGCCTCTTTACTGCATGGTTTTTATATAAATTAAAATTTTAGCACTGTGGTGTCACATAGTTGTCATGTAAACTTGTGAACAATAGATAGATCTGTCCTGGGGAAGCAGGAGATGGTTTAAGCATTTGCTAAATGCTGGCTGTTACTCCTGATGATGGGATTAGGATGGCTATCCAGTCTGAACTTGCATAATTGAGGTTTTTGTCTTTAAAGTTAGTTATGTTAGTAGGAATACTAGACCTATATGATCTAAATAAGTGAGAAATTATACATGTACTAAATAAAAGTATAGAGGATGTTAAAATGAGCTTTTGCAGCCGGGTCGTGAGATTTCATTTACTATTGCCGGTTTTGACAGTTCTTACACATTCATTCTTGCAGTTTCACGGAAGCGCTGTTTTGATAGTAAGTTTCTGGAAGGGGATAGTGGCCCTATTTAATGTATATTTAAAAAGTATAATCCGTATGTTAGTACAAGATGGTACTCTTAAATAAAAATTAGAAATAGGTAGTACAGTATTATAGAAATAGGTAGTGTATAAGGAAATTTCAAAGAGATAAAGAGCAGCAGGCTGTACGGAAATACTAGTGGAGGAAACTGTTTGATGTCTTGCAACCTATTCAGGTACTAAGAGACGGTTACTACAAGCTAATTAATATTATAATTTTTCCATAGTTTCAGTGGAGCTATGGAGACATCATGATGGTGATGGCATTGTTCTGAGTAGGTTACAGTATTAACACTTATTCATGGGTAGCCTTTGATACAGAAACAGATCTAAATGATGCTTGCAGCATGGGGCTGATAAGAATTGAAAGGTGTAAAGAAACAGTAATGGGTTGGAAGGGATGTTTAATTTAGTTTGTCTTATAAGAGTAAAATGTACTATTAAAAACACGGTTTTATGAATGAATGGAAACGCGGTATAATAAACATGGAGTGCTTGTGAGTGAGTTAGTGAAGAGAATCATAATACAATATCTCACAGGGGTTTGGATAGGGTGGCCAGGGAAGACCTGTTTCCCCTTGCAGCGAGGTTTGTTACTGGGAGCACAAATTTAGTGTGGTCAGTAGAGGATTAGGGAAGATATGAGTTTAATAGCTGCAGCTTCAGGGATCTACTGATTAGGAAAACAAATCAAACAGTGACATCACAGGAAAGTGATGTGTTGATTGGTTTGGGATTTTTAAAGGCGTCATTCTTTTTTGGAAGAAGGGATTAACTGAAAAACAATGGAATAAGTGAAAGTCAGGGTCACTTTATAATAAAGTAATATATATAAGCAAAATTGGATAATGGAAGTAAAGTTAGTATAAGGGAAGTAAGTTAATAGTATTCTTGCAAAAGCATAATTAACTTTTTTTAAGAAAGACGGTGATTAAGGAGCTTAGGGGAAGTCATGGCAGCAGAGTTCACACCCAGGATATGTTGCTGCTGTGTTATGTGGGAAATCAAGGAACCTTCAGTTCTCCACGGTGACGACATACAGGAAGTGTGTCCAGCTCCAACTACTGGCAGACTACATCTCTGAGCTGCAGGTGAATTCACTGGAGCATCTGTGATGCTGAGCATGTCATGGATTGCACATTTGGTGAGGTGGTCACGTTGCAGGTGAAGAATGAAAAGCCAGAAAGGGGATGGGTGACCGCCAGGCGGAGTAGCGGAAGGCAGGTAGCGCAGGAGTCCTCTAATAGATATACCGTTTTGGATACTGTTGGGAGAGATGATTATGCAGGTGAAAGCCATGGGAGCCAACTTCCTGGCATCGTGAGGGTCTGCTACAGAAGAGTGGAGGGAAAAGAATGGCAGGCTTATGGTGGTATGGGATTCATTAGTAATGGGAACAGACAGCTGTTTCTGCAAATACAAGAGACTTCAGGATGATATGATATGCCTCCCTGTGCCAGG